ACACACACACACACACACACACACACACTCCTGACTATAAACAAACTTTGGACATTAGCTAATAATACTGTATCAGTTTGGGTTCATTCATTATAACAAATATAGTGTCTTAATGGAGATGTTAATAATAAGGGAAAGTGGGTGTAGGGAGTATAGGAATTCTCCCAATATTTCTGTAATTCTAAAACTGTCCTAAAAATAAAGTCTAGTGATAGGTACAGCTCACTGTGGAATACAGGCTTAGCATGCCTGTTCAATCCCCAGCACCTACATGAATAAATAAAGGCATAAAATCTATTAAAAAGTGAACAAGCAAAACAAACAAAAAAACCAATCAGCGCAGAGCAATAGCTGGGCTGCTCCCTTATGTGCCATGTGGCAGGAAACTAGGACCAGGAGTCCAGGAGTTGGTCGGCCTGTAGTTCTCCAGTTATGAGCTGGGAAAATTGCATAACCTCTGTAAGCCTCTGTTTATCTGTCTTTAATAATTTTGTTGACGGTGATATTTCTGGTGCACAAATCCCTCCTTGGCCACCTGGTGAAGAAGCCAGCCTTGTGTTTCAGACAGTAAGGCCTCTTAGATGGGGCATGACAAGCCCACCAAGGACAGGCATATGGTGACTTCATTACCGGCCTAAATCTCACAACACAGCTTGGTGTGATTAGAGCGTGTAACCCTGGGCAAATGACTCCCATCCCTATCAGTCATCTTCTCAAGCTTCCCAAAGCTCTTTGCAAAGAGCAACTTGGGCCAGATATGGTGGCTCACGCCTGTAATCCCAGCACTCAGGAGGCTGAGGCAGGAGCATCACTGTGAGTTCAAGGCCAGCCTGGGCTACAGTGATGGTTAACACTAGTGGAAGGAAATAACTGGAGTTATTATTCTGATTTTCCAGACAGGCACACTAAGATTCCAAGAGGTTAAGTGATTCACCTAAATCCTGTGTTTTGTCGAGACAAAGTCAAATTAGATTTCAGTGCTCCTAAAGGTAAGGTGGAGGTGACAGTAGTAAGAAAGTTGGAAGAGTTTGCCCAGGAACCCTCATCCTCAGTTTACCTTTCTGCTCGGGGGTACAGAGGGCAGTGGCCATGACAGATGGGGCCTCCAAGGCCAAGGCCATGTAAAATTTAAGTTGTGCAGTTGTTCTGACTGCTCTGCTGCCCACAGAAAAAGACATCTGCCAAGACGTGGCCCACAGCTGTGAGCAGCACCAAGTTGTACACCTGCAAGAGCTTGGAGGGGTTCAAGCTGGCCGAGGACAGGAAGCACTGCAGAAGAAGCTGGGGGGGGGGGTTGTCCATCTGACTTAGACAGTTACAGATCTTCATTTAATCTTTAAAATCTTTTCCCCCCCCTTTTTTTCTTGGAGACAGGGTCTTGCTATGTAGTCCAGGCTGGCCTCAAACTCAGTGATCCTCCTGCCTCAGCCTCCCAAAGTGCTGGGATTATTGGCATGCACCACCATACCCCACTTTTAAATCTTTCACACAACTGTTAGCCAGCATCACAGATCAAAATTCCTGCCTTGGCTACCCTGGAAGTGTTTCACTAGAGATGAGGTTGATGTTAGTTCCTCAGCAATGTCTAGGGGGTCCTGAGTTGCCAGGCACTTTGCCTGTCCCATGTTGGCCCTGAACACAGTGGCCATGCGGAAGCCAGAGCCTAGGGCAGTGCCTGGGCAGGCATTGCACAGAAGTAGAATCTTTGCCAGAGCCACTACACAGGGCAGAAGATAATTACAGGCCGTTTTCTTCTTCCAGATTTTATGTGAGGGTAAAGGGTAGGAGAGAGGCTGAGGGATTTCTGTGGGTTTTTGAAAAATCCATTCTGTCATTTACTTTCAGAAGTCATACAGAATAAAGTCTCAGAAGTTAGTTAGAAAATGTGTTAGCCAGGGTTCTCCAGAAAAGCAGACATTGTGCTGGAGGTGGTGGCACACCCCTGAAATCCCAGCATTCAGGAGGCCAAGGCAGGAGGATCATCTTGACTTCAAGGCCAGCCTGGGCAATACAGTGAGTTCAAGCATAGCAAGACCCTGTCTCCAAAACAAAACAAAACAACAAAAAAACACATCAAAACAGATGATTGCCTCTGTGTGTGTGTGCACGCGTGTGTGTAAAGAGAGGGAAAGTAAGGAATTGGCTCATGAGCTGGTGAGGGCTGGCAAGTATGAAGTCTTCAATGTAGTCTTGAGACCCAGAGAATCTCCTTCTCAAAGAATTTAAGTCTTTCTCTTGACCTTCAACTAATTGGATAAGGCCCACCCACATTAGGGAGGGAAGTCTGCTTGCTAGGTCTACTGAAATGTTAATCTCATCTAAAAATTACCTCACAACAACATCTAGACTGGTATTGGAACAAACAACTGGGTGCCCCAGCCTAGCCAAGGTGGCAAATAACATTAGCCATGACAGTACCACGGAAGAGAGAGCCGTGGACATGCTGGCTCAGGGAGGGGGTGTTAGAAGAGCACAGGGCAGGACATTTTATCCACTGGGAGATTCTGGCTGTTCTTCCTCTTCCTGGGGATTTTGACAATGTCTTACTTGCTTTTGCGACACTCTGCCCCAGTTGGCCAAATGGTCCTTTGCTAGTTAAGGCAAAAGTTCATTTGCTTTTGCCAGGCCTGATGGCACAGGCCTGTAATCCTCGCACTCAGGAAGCTGAGGCAGGATTGCCCTGAGTTTGGGGCCAACTTGTGCCACCTAACGAGACCCTGCCTCAAAAAAAAGCTCACGCCGAGATGGTCTGTTTTAATGGCTCATTTCCTCAGCCCCTTCTTGCTGACCGTCTGGCAGCCCCTGTCCATGCTGATGGGGCTGCTCACCCCCCACTCTCTCCTCAGGGAAGGACGCCTGCACTTCGAACTCACACGGCTGCGAGCACATCTGCGTGAACAAGGGCAACTCCTACGTCTGCAAGTGCTCCCAGGGCTTCATCCTCGCCGAGGATAGACGGCGCTGCAAGAGTGAGTGACCCGGCTTGGCTCTGCTCTCGCTTGGTTTTAGAGCAACTGATTTTTGGAACATTTTCAGGCCACAAATCCTTCACCTCTGCTTCTCATAAATCTAAGCAAGTGTACACAAACAGGATGGGCCGAGGGGGAGGCCTCAGGGAGGCAGCACCTGCGGACACACTTCCGTTAAGGTGACCTGCGGAAATGCTTCCAGTTTGAGGTGACCGGAAGTTCACTACCCATCAAGAGGTTGCAGTGATCCTAGGTGGAATGAGAAAATCTGGTTATGAGAGGTAGAATTATGCTCTGCACTGTGCTGGAAAATTACAGTCAGTTCAGCACAGCACTTCAGGAAAAGAGAGATGGAGCAAAGGTTGAAACATTAAAAAAAATTTAAGCCAGGCGTGGTGGCACACGCCTATAATTCCACTACACAGGAGGCTGAGGCAAGAGGATCACCACAAGTTTGAGGTCAGTCTGGGCTACATAGTGAATTCAAGGCCAGTCTGGTGTACATAGCAAGACCTTGTCTCAAAAAACCAACCAAACAAAAAAATTTAACCATGAAATAGCAAGAAAATTTTGAATTATAATCTCAGAATAGAGAAACTTATTCTAAACATGACATGAAATTAAAAAGCCTTAAAAGAAAAAGAAAATATGTATTAAGAGATTAAAACTATGATACCCTTTTTTAACCCACTAGTTATCAGAGACTGAAAAATGTGATAACTCCTTATGTTGGCAAAGGTATGTGGTAATAGGCAATTATAAAGTGATCAGTGGGTATGTAACTAGCACAGTTTTTAGGAGGGTGATTTGGCCATATTTTAAATGCAACTCCAGATATGTGCATGTGTTCACAAAGTCACAAGCACAAGGATATTTTGTATACCATTATTTGCAGCACCAAAGAACTGGAAGCAAGGGCCAGGAGGTTTAGCTCAGTGGTTCTGCCGCCTGCCTTGAAGGTGCAAGGTCCTGAGTTCAATCCCCAGTACCAAAAAAAAAAAAAGAAGAAGCTAAAGTGTACTGTTATAATCATGGGCCGGGGATTTAGCGCAGTGGTTTCGCCGCCTGCTGCACAAGTGCAAGGACCCAAGTTCAATCCCTGGTACCAAAAAAAAGAAAGAAAGAAAAAGAAATTGTTGTTACATTTTTGGGGACCGGGGATTTAGCTCAGTGATTCCGCCACCTGCCTGGCAAGTGCAAGGTTCCGAGTTTGATCTCCGGTACCAAAAAAAAAAGAAAAAGAACTGGAAGCAGCTAATTATCTGCCCTTAAGAGACTGGTTAAAGAAATCATGGTTTCCTACACAATGGAATACAGTACAACTGTTAAAAAGAATGAAGCAGCTCTAAACAGATCCCCAAATATGTTTGTTTTGTGGTACTAGGTATTGAACCCAGGGCCTTCAAGCTTGAGCTATATCCCTAGCCTATTTTTTAAATTTTGAGATAGGATCTCGCTAAGTTGCTAAGTTGTCCAGGCTGGGCTTGAACTTGTGATTCTCCTGCTTCAGGTTCCCAGAGTGCTGGAATTACAGTTCGGGGCCACCATGCTTGTCTTATCCCCGAATATTTTAAATGAAAAAAGCATGATGCTCATAAGCTGGCTGTGGTCACACATGCTTGTGATCCCAGTACTCTGGGAGGCTGAAGCAAGGGGATTTCAAGTTCCAGACCATCCTGGGCAACTTATCAACCTAGTAACCCTTGTCTCATAATAAAATATTAAAAAGGCCAGGGATTTAGCTCAGTGGTTCCAGTGCCTGCCTCGAAAGTGCAAGGTCCCGAGTTCGATCACCAGTCCAAAAAAAAAAATTAAAAATGGCTAAGAATATAGCTCAGTCTAAAGGTTCTGGTTTCAGTCCCAATGTGTGTGTGTGTGTAGGGGGTTGCTTAATGTTTGTTATGGCACATTACCATTGATGTATTTTATAAAAGGCCTAATATATACATTCTATGTTAATAGGAAAAGGAGTACACCCTACAGTGTGAGGGCAGTCACCATGAAAGAGAGAGAGAAAACACACTGGCAAAGACTCAGTGTGGATCGTCCTTGTATTACCCATGCCTCAGGCTGTCAAGTCTAGGCCATCCTGTGGAGAACCTTCTTTGTTCTCACAAGAAGTCCATGTGGGGCCGGGGATTTAGCTCAGTGGTTTCACCGCCTGCTGCGCAAGTGCAAAGACCCCAGTACCAAAAAAACAAACAAACAAACAAAAAAGAAATCCATGTGCAGGCTTTGGAAACTGCTCTGCATGTATCACACCTACTTCCCCAGCCAGCTTTACCATCCCTAATCACCTGCCTCAGGCCTTTTCCTTGTTCACCAGTACAGAATCAACAGGTTGAATGATGAGGACAAGCACTTAATGGAGAAAGAGAAGAACCCAGCTGCCCCCATGTACATGCACACAAAATTATATTACCATGCTACACTGGCCAGGCTTAGAAACATTTGTGCTCATGTGTGTCTTTACTTGCTTATATGGTTGTGCTTCCCTTTTTTTTTTGGAGACAGGGTCTTGCTATGTAGTTCAGGCTGGCCTCAAACTCACTTTGATCCTCCTGCCTCAGCCTCCCTAGTGCTGGGATCACAGGCTTGCGCCACCATGCCCAGCGGGCTGTGCTTCACTTTGAAAGATGAGATACATAGAAGAGAATGTTATAATAACACACTGTGCACTGAAATGAGATCATCCATTTTCTTATGCAGCCCTAAATAACAAAAAGTCTCTCCACACCCAAACTGCTTAAGTGTTTGCATGAAGTTTTTTTCTCTTACCATCAACTGAGTTGGCCAAAAAGCTTTGGTAAAAGGAATTCAGTGGGCCAGGGATTTAGCTCAGTGGTTCCACCGCCTGCCTTGCAGGCGCAAGGTCCCAAGTTCGATCCCTGGCACCAAAAAAAAAAAGAATCCAGTGATTGTTCATTTTAAGCTCTAATAGTCAGTAGGGTGCTTACGAGTGTCCTACCCAGTAGACACCACCTCGTCTCTTCTTCTCTCAATGAGCAGAGAGCATATTAGACTGTAAACAGCGTAGTGCTGGGCGTTCTGTCTCGGTCACTGTTGCAGTCCTGCCCTGTCCACGGACTCCCACAATGCCCATGTGTCTTGGTCACTTTCTCGTTGCTGAGACACAATACCTGATACCCACAATTTAAAAGAGGAGAGGTTTGTTTTGGCTCACAGTTAGTAGAGGGATCAGTCCACAGTCCACTGGCTCCAAGGCAGGGCGGCCTGGAAGAGGGGCATGGAGGAGGGAGCTGCTCAGCACCTGGTGAAGCGGAAGCAGCGGGCAGAGGGAGGACCCAGGGAAAGAGAGGAACCCTTCCAGGCCACGCCCCCAGTGACTGCCTCTTCTGGCCAGGCCCCACCTCCTCCTGACACCAACTCAGCTACCAGCCCCTGTAATCCAGGCACCTTCCAAAAGCCACACTTAGGAGCACTGAGACTCTCAGGGGACATCTAGATGTAAACTGTAACAAGGTGCTCAATAAATAAGATTGTGGTTGAATAAACTAATAAACAGGGTCAGGATATTCAGAGAAGGCTTCTAGGAAAGTCCTGGGCAGAGATGGCGCCATCTGATCGCCAGTACTTGAGTGGTGTCTCCCTCCAGGTGTCACGGGAGTCACTCAGGTACGGCCAGCCTCTTCTGTGTGCCGCACACACAGCCCCTCCCAGCTTGGCCATGAGTGATCAGGGTAAAGTGTGGGCCTGGTTTCTTACATAATTTGAACATCTGTCGTGTGGGGTTGCTTATTGATTTTTAAAAAATTTTTTTTTGGTACCAGGGATCAAAGGGTACCAGGGTCCTTGCGCTTATGAGGCAGGCAGCGGAACCAAAAATGATTTTTTTGGTGGTACTGGGGATTGAATCCAGGGCCTTTGCAGAAATGATCATTGATTGTAACCTCCCACACACCTCTTTTTGTTTGTTTGTTTTTGAGACAGGGTCTCATTCTGTAATTCAGGCTGGGAGTCCTCCTGCCTCAGCCTCCGCCGGAGTGCTGGGGCCAGCCACCACACCTGTCTGTGGATCTTGCTAAGTAATTTAGGTTTGAATTTATAGGAATCTTCCTGCCTCAGCTGCCTAAGTGCTGGGATTAGAAGCACGTGCCACCACACTCAGCTCCAACACCCTTTGTCTTCCTGAAAATAAAAATAAGTGTTTCACCAAAGCAGTGAGGCCTGTAGCTGAGCATCATTTTCTTTACTCTTGGACACGAATGCTTTTTAATTATTTAATTTGCCTGTTGTTCCCGTAGGATGCACCGAGGGCCCAATTGACGTGGTCTTTGTGATTGACGGGTCCAAGAGCCTCGGCGAAGAGAATTTTGAGATCGTGAAGCAGTTTGTCACTGGAATCATAGATTCCTTGGCCATTTCCCCCAAGGCCGCCCGCGTGGGGCTGCTCCAGTACTCCACGCAGGTGCGCCCCGAGTTCACCCTGCGCAGCTTCCACTCGGCCAAGGACCTGCGGAAAGCTGTGGCCCACATGAAGTACATGGGCAAGGGCTCCATGACCGGGCTGGCCCTGAAGCACATGTTCGAGAGAAGTTTCACTCCCTCGGAGGGTGCCCGGCCCCTGTCTGCACGCGTGCCCAGAGTGGCCATTGTGTTCACCGACGGCCGGGCCCAGGACGACGTCTCCGAGTGGGCCAGCAAGGCCAAGGCCCATGGTAATGCAGGTCTCCCCGGCGCAGCTGGCCTTTGAAAGATGGGCAGCATTGCCACCTTTACCACACTGCCACCTAGAGGCGGTAATGGGATCGGGAGTTTTTTGTTTTGTTTTGAGACGGTCTCTTCTTGTAATTCAGGCTGGCCTTGAACTCCCCAGGTATCCCACCCTGGCCTCGATCTCATAGCAATCCTCCTGCCTCAGCCTCCCGAGTGCTGGGATTACAGGTGTGTGTGTGCCACCCTGCCCAGGTCCTTTCATTTTTAACCAATGCTTTGAGGGAACACTGAAAACCCAGTAGCCTTTAAGATAGAGAATACTCTTGCTGGTGCAGAAAGTGAAAGTTCGTTTCTTGAAAAATCAAAATGTCAGAACAGATGGTGACTCTGCTCAGTAAAGCGCAGCCTGGCCGAGGGTTTTCCACCTCAAGTGTGATGCAGGGAAGGCCGGGAGGGTCACCTAAGGGGTACTGAGGTGACATTTGGGAAGGGCTGTGGCCTTGACAAAAGGACACCCTACACTGGCACAGCCGGTAGAGATGGTGTGTGGGTTCCCTGGGGAGACAGAAGACCTGAGACTGAAGCAGCTTATTTGCAGACACTACTGAATCCCTGGGTCCTCTGAGGGGAAAAGAAGGTGCAGACCAGGCTCGCCCAAGACTTCCTGGGCCAGGGCCTGATCAGGCCTGACACATGGAAGACATATGACAAACTTGCCGAGTAAAGGAGCGGGGCTGAGAGAACTACTGGTGAGGCCCCCTCCTCCTTGCGGAAAGGCCGGTTCCAGTTGATCTCAAATCCTCTTTGTGAAGATCCATTTTATGGACATTGCTTACCTCCCTCTTCACTCCTTTTTCCTTGCCCAAGACAGTGGGACCCAAGGGTCTGGCCCTGAACCATCTAAGACAGTAAAACTGCTGTCCACACTAGACAGGCTGGAGATCACAGCTAACCCATGGCCCTGATGGCCTGCATTCTAACAAGTACTGGGGCAAGGATCTTTTTCTCTAGAAACGGTGGTTCACCCTTTATTTGACTCATTAAGACAAATCTACCTGAGCAGGGTGTGGTGACCCACACCTGTAATTGCAGTACTCAGGAGGTTGAGGCAGGAGGATCACTGTAAGTTACAGGCTGGCCTGGACTACATAGCAAGACCCTGACTCTAAAAACAAAAAAAGGACTAATCTGCCTAACACTTTCCCCCATTCAGATTTCCACAGATTATCCAAAGGTAGGTGGTAGGAGAAACAGGTATCTGGTTCTTGAATCAGCAAGGTTTATGTGGCATGACATTCTCTCATGAATTTAATTGTCCCTGTGTATGGATAACACTATCTCCAAACAGTCATTACCCTTTTTGGGAAGTTGTGAATACAGACTCTGGGCTCGCAGACAAATATGCCGGACTTGGCTATTGACCTTACAGACTTGGAACAAGGCATAACCCTTACCCCTTGGCTTTACAGGCCACTTTTATGTGCATTTTTTAAAAAATGTAGTCTAATGAATTAGCCAGAATAACATCAGTGCTGAAAAATGTTGGAATTAAGAGTATATG